AGGGAAGAAGAGGGGGAGAGAGAGAGAGAAATAAAACAGGCAAGAAAAACACAACAAATGTTGCAGACTACCTGCGACTGTAACCCTCAGACTAAGCATCACCGCCATGCCTGACCATACTGTTTAGGATGCATAGGACTTAAAACGGGCCCCCAAGATCGCCAGAAGGGGCTCCCAGTTCCATAGACGCATTTAGCAGTCGGGGAACAAGGACTACACCTGGGAGAGGCTTGAACCCAGGTGGGACTGCGTTGATTTACAACACAGAGGTAGAGAGGACATGACACTGGTTGTAGGTCCAGAGATGTGAGGACAAAAAAAAGAATGTAGGGGGGGTCTCTCTCTCTTTTATAGATTTACACTGGTCCTGTGGACAGGGATAAGGGGCGGAGCTATCAAAGGTATGCTGCCATGGAGGCACCAGGAAATATTTGTGGGAGTGTGTATGTGTGTGAGAATGTCTGTGGTTGTGTGTCTGTTTTTGAGCCGGATGAAGGGGTACTGGTGAGACCCCGAAAGCGCTTGTATTGGATGGTGATTTGTCAATAAAGGACTTTTTGCTTCAAAACTTTTGGTGTGCTGGTGACAATCCTTTCTAGATCTGTCAGTGTTTTAGTCGCAAACTACCATGTTCGTTCTGGTGCAGGAAGTGCATTGTGTTGCAATTAATTTGAATAGCACCCCAAACACACCTCCCGCCCACAGTTTAATCGCTTGCACCGGAACATGCGGTACTGCAATGCTGTGCGTTCCAGTGTGGTGCAACTTGGGTCACGACTGAATGACCAAGGACAAATGTAGGTCCTGAGGTTATACAGGTTGAGAACCACTGTTCTAGACTGTATACTGTGGCTCCATCCACCAGTTGTTCCAGCACCCGTTGGATTCTGGGGTAAAGGTTGAGAACCACTGGTTTAGAAGATAGGAGATAGTGAATATGGACTTGATAACATATAATTATTATTCTACAAATGTAGTTTGAACAGGTACGTGCTCCTCATCAGCTGGTTGTTGTCACAAAAATATGCAGCTTCTACCTGATGTTTCAGGGGAATAAAATTGTATTTGGACGATAATACTACAGTATGGTGCTTCAATCTAACACTCTCTCTCTCTTCATCATCTATTTCCTGGAATAAGATGCTGGCTCCAATTGTGAAATATCACCTACGATGATTTTATCAGTACCCTGCTTCTGAGGTCTATTAACTGTCCCGAACATATGATGTTATAAACCAGTGGTGGTGAACCTATGGCACGCGTGCCAGGGAGGGCATGCGGGGCCCTCTCTGATGGCACATTTATTAATTTTTATGAGTAGTTCTGTGTGTATAATGTGTGTGTGTTTTATTACGTGTGTATGTTTTTTAAGTGTATAAATGTTTGAATATGCATGTTTCCCTATTTTGCCTAAGGCCCCATTCACACTGTGCGTAAAATCCGGCTATTTCGTGCATTTTTGCTGCGCGATATTGCGAGAAGTCGCTGGCCAAAGTTATTCAATGGAGCTGTTCTAATGTACAGCTCCATGTCGCCCATCACTGTCGCTTCATCAGGACCCTTTTTCCCCGCGGATGTCGCGCGATGTTTCTATTTTTGAATGCAGCGTGGCGGTGAAGGTCGCTGGAACGTCGCCCCGAACAGTTGCGCTATCCCGGCCAGCTTGTAAGGTATGTCGCTTGGTGTGAATGGGGCCTAAGGCAGTGATGTTGAACGTTTCTTAAACCCGAGCGCCCGAACTGCAGTACAGTACCAGACTTATTTTCAGCGCTGGCACTTTGATGTAAATAAATTGATTTTGCGTCGCAGTTTGGGCACTCGGGTTCAAAAAGGTTCGCCATCACTGTTATAAACCGACCTAAATATTACATTTCGTTTTCATTAGAAGAGTTCTGCAGTGTGCCAAGTATTCAATGATTAAGTGTTATTCTGCTAAAGTGTTAATATGGATAGGAAAATCTAGCAGAGCAAAAATGTATTTATCTGTATTGTCATATTCATACTGGAAGCCACAATTCTCCTCTTTTCTTTGACAAGTTGACACATACAGCTGCCTAGAACAGAAATGCTGCCTTGCAGCAACATTTTACAGTGCAAATACACAACTGCTGGTGTTATGGGCACAGTCTGGATCAGAAAAGCCAATTATTTTTATCCTAGACTCATTGCAAAGTCAAACCGTGCGAGGATGTTTTATTGTCTTATTTTATCATGTATTGTCATTCACAGGAAAGCCCAGATGTGCTTCAGTAACAAATAACCCCTCTACAAGGCATACAGTATATACTGTACATAGCAAGGAACTTTAGCAAATGTTATTCAACATTCCTATCTGCTTCTTTGCTGAAGTTAATGTAAAATCTTTCCCTATAGATAGTTTTACAATGTTACAACATTTTTCAGCATAAAATGAACCAACATTATTTTGGGCAGTGTGGTGAAGTTACTGTTACTTTGGGCTCCATTAGAGAGTTTTCCTCTGACTTACTATCCCAGTTACAGCTGTGTGGTACTGTGTGGCAGTCCCACATTAGAATTTGGTGCTATCACCCAGGACTCTCAGCCAAATGGGGTGAGAGGTTTCAAGAAGCAAGGGTTTTTCTGGATTCTGCTTGGGATCATGGAATCAGGAGGTTTCAAAGTGATTCAGGAGGGATGAGATCTCCAGTCTTGGGTCCAGGGTTTAGCAGTGACCACTATCCAATGATTGAACGAAGGAAAGGGTGCAGGCTAGGGTAATAGGAATAGATGGTTTTCAGGAGTCAGGAGGACTCACCCAGAAGTCAGAGAAGAGTCAGGTGAGCCTCTGCTGGGAAATAGGAACAGACTGTGTTCAGGAGTCCAGAGGCTTCCCCCAGAAGTCCAACTGGAGTCAGGTGGTGTGTGTGCTGGAGAGCCATGAGCCTGAGGGGCCACCAGTACAAGTGCGGGACAGCACTACAGAGAGGACTGGTGGGTCCGAATTATTAATGTTAAGAGTGGAAACCAGGCTATACTTGTGTTTTTTTGCAAGCAGTGCATGGATGCTGTACAGAACAACCCCTGCGAGGGTATCCAAGGTAGATGTGTGAACTTTCATTTAAATAAAAGTGGGCTACCAAGCCTTTAAAAAGGAAGATATTGCAATTAGGCTGCATCCTTAAAGTGCTTACCATATGTGCTAATATCCCAAACATCACACCAGGTAATTCTGGTCAACTGCTTTCCTTGTATAAATATTTAACTGTAAGAATAAAACCACAGCACCTAGAAAGTTTTCATTTGTAGCAGGCACATTTCAGCTGTGCATTTAGATTTTTTCTCCATAAGGCTCCGTTCACACCTTGGCATTTAAATATGCGTGTCAGAATTCAAAACAATGGATGTGTAAATAAAACACAAAAAATAATATAAACCAATTGGCTTGTTCATATCTGTGCACTGGATTGTGGTGAATTTGTCAAAATGAGGCAAGTGCATTTTTGCAGCATTTTCATGTGCTTTCAGTGCAATACAAGTCTATAGAAGCGCATGAAAATGCATGTAAAGTGCATTTCACTTTGCTTATATTGGGTTGTGGGTGAGCACAGGGCAGCTTGCCATCCCATTGTAACAGGTTCTTCACCTGGGTGCGCTCACCCACATATCAAGCAAGATGGCTGCAGCTGAGTGTTTCTGTGACAGTGAGGCACTCATCACAGAGCTTTGTAGCCTGCCCCTCCAATGCGACCCCTCTCATCGCTTTTACAAAGACTGAGAGAGATGCAATACAACTTGGGAAACCTTGGTTGACAAATTTTTCCCACAGTGGGGGACAAAGTCTTGAGCCGTTGCTCAGAATCATCAGCGCCTCTCATAGAAGTCTACAAAGTACACGCCTCAAAAGTCTACAACAAAGATATCACTGCAGGAAACTAATCCTAATTGGCTAATAACCTAAAACACAGGAAAAGTCAATGCACATAAAAAACAAATTGACAAATGCAGGGAAGCGGACTTGGATAGATGTGAACTCAGCCTAAATGCCAGCTTCTCATGATAAAGCAGACACTGCGGAGCTCAGTACGCTTCGATAGCGCATTAAGTTGCCTAACTTGTTTTGAACGGACAACTATCCTTCTGAAAAAGTGGCAAAAAGGTAACTGTTTTCTGTTACTTTTAGTAAACATTTATACTGAACTGTGTAGTACAAGCTTGGCTACCTGCTAGCAATAGAACACTACTAACATTAAAGCCCATTTCCACCTTTGCAGGAGTATTTAAATAAAAACATATGCCAGCAATGTACACCAAGTAAACATGAAGCAGGCATATGCAGCTGATGGATATTTCTGTGCACCTTTGAATTCTAATTGAAGGGTATTGCAGCAGGCACATTTCTTGTCTGTATGATACCCAACCTCCCACAGGACCCACTAATCATCATATACAGACACCCTGGGCAACAGGGTTGTCAATCACTGTGGTGTGGCCTATGTGATGCACACAACTTCCATGGATCCAGTTTCATCTGAAGGAGAGGGAGCCCCCTCCTCCCTGTGCACTCCTCTACAGCTGACAATCTATTGCCAGTTGACATTGTTGTGTTGCTCTGTATGTGTAAATGTAGTGTTGTTTCTCAATGAGTACAAATGACTTGCTGTGTTCCTTATTGTATTAGGTGTACTATATTTTCCACTTATGCAGAGCCAGTAAGGAGTATGGCAGGACTGATATCAGACTAGTGTCTTATACTGTGTAGTGTAATCTCCACTGCAAACATATGTAATGCACAGCATCTGGTTTACCATCTTGTAATGTTCACATTTAGGCAAAGCTGTGTGTATTTACTTAGATAGGCATAATTTCTGAAAAATGTCAATAAGTGTTGTAGTGAGCATTACTGCAGTGACGTGATGGCTCCATCTGACTCCTCCCACCAGCCAGTGTACAGTAGGAAACATAGATGGTCATTTGGCCTCTTTTTTCTCGCATGTTCTAAGGTGGAAAACTCATTAAATCTTAAAAATAAGGACAGAAAGATCAGCAGGCAGATGACAAGTATAAAATTATAGATTGCTGCATTATGAAGTTCTACTTTAAAACCCTGGTGAAGGCTTGTGACATAACCCATCAGGTGGAGCTTAACCACAAAATATGCTACATTGTTATTCACCTGAGCTACACAACCTTGTGAGTGCCATTCTTTGCTTTATCTAATACACAAAAGGATATTCCACTATATGGGATTTGTTTTGTTGCCGGTTCTACCACTGTGGGGACTAGTATGAGAATGTCAGATGTAGCCACAAATATTCAAAAGAATATATAAAAGAGAAAAAAACATTATAAGGTGCATATCTATTTACTATTTGTACAGTATTAAGTAAACCTATGTAGGTAGATTGCATTTAACCAGACGTTTTGCCTTATACCCATCTTCTTTTATCAAAAAGGCTGGACAATTTTGTTGCATCTTTGCCTCTGTCTTGCCATTCAAAATGGGCTCATAAGAGATATTTAACCACCTCTAATGTGAACCTGTACTTTAATCATGTAAATAATCCATCAGAGTTTTTTTGTATCAAGACTAACGAAATGACTGCCATTGTGTCTCACAGAAATGTCCCAATTTGGCTGTAAAATCTTCCAATTTTAGTTTTCTTTCAATTTACAGACATTTGTCGTGCAAATTTGTAACATTAAGTATAACAAAAAAATTAATAAGGCCCCTTATTTGTGGTTATTCTCTTATTTTAGTCATTTTCATTAATTCAGTATATTTCCTGCTATCAATCCGTAACAGGATCTTTTGTATGGTCAGTGCAGCCATCTTTTATAGAAACACTCAATAAAAGAAAATAAAAGACTGCACTAAGCTGCAAATTTAAATAATATGTTCACTTTGATCTAAAAATCCAGGCACTGAGCAAGAATATCAAGGTAACTAATTTCAAACATGGCCATTGTGCTTTCAGTATCTCTAAAACCCCTAAACATACAGCAAGCCTGTCCATAGAGAATAACATTGATCTTAATATTTAGTACATGAGTTGGACAAATACTATAATTTTATGGCCAGGCACAGGATTTTAATGTACGCACCAACTCATTTAACTACTACCTTTGTGGTGTAGACTTCATTTTTGGTCATCTGTGGTTTATAGTTACATTGACAATGACATTGGGTTTTCAGTTACATTTGCAGTTATAACTCAAAAGACAAAAGCTAGAATCTCAAGTTCTTTTATTTTGAGCAGGCCAAATATGAACAGGTGACACTGGAAGTGGAAGCTTGAAATAGAAAATAGGGGTGTCCTCTGCCTAGATGTGAAAACGAGGTCTGTAAATTAATTAAAAAAAATAAGGGCTTCTGTATATGGACATAAGTTCACATCAGAACTATTTTCCCCATTCCCATAAAAGACAATGGAAATGAAAAATCAGACTGATGCAGCTAAATGTGGGTTAGAAGAAGATCAGAAGGATGTCAGAACCACCAGAGAAGGAACTGAGAAGGATCTGTAAAATATCTTGAAATGAGCTCAAATGAAAGTTGAATGCCACTAAAAACATGCTGCTTGCCTATGTGTCCCGAGACTGGGTGTCACCCGGAGCGGAGACCGAGTGACACCCCGACGTGACGTCATCGCGCATGCGTGTGACTTCACCACGCGCGTGCGTGATGATGTCATCTCATTGACGTCCTGCTGGCGGCCACCTTAGTGATGGACGCCGGCAGAGAGAGGATGTTCACCCAGCGGGATGAGGTATGCTGCCGGGTCCCCTCCTCTCCCATGACACTGTCACAGTGCCCAGCTTTTTAGAGGGGGTGACACCAAAATGACAGTCAGTCATTTTGGTGTCACCCCTCCAATGGTGTCACCCGAGTGCAGGCCGCACCCCCCTTGTGACGCCACTGTACACAAGCCCTTAATATATTTTTGAAATAAAATTAAGAAAACAACCAAAGCCCCCCTCCCCCACACATACACACAAACACACATGCACGCACATACGAATGTAAATGAATATGTCAGGTGCAGCTATATATGATATGAAAAAAAATGATTGCACCACACAGGTTGCATATCACCATGCATGCAGGAGTGAGAAAAATGATTTTAGGGCCATTTTTTACAGTTAATTCTAAATTCTGTCCTGCGGAGGCTTTAACAGTGTTGGACAATTTTGGGCACTATAGTTTTTCGTTCTTTCATCCTTGCTGGCCTGATACAAGTAGGCAGCCAATATGCCCAGAACTCCATGCCTGCATAGTTGCTTTGTGTCACTGACTCACTAAGTAGTAAATTAAGGCTGAATCTATGTAGTGTGATTGATTCATGCTTATTAGTTCTCTTTGTTCTATATATAGGCAATGGCTTTATTTGCAGTGCTGTAAATGCTCATCACTTCAGTTTACATAAAGAAACCTGACTGCACTTACTGCTCATAGAATGGCTTTAAATGTGCAGATAGAGGATAATCTTCAATGGAAAGAACTGTGGATCTATGTTTCCATGTTATATAAATAACAAACATTATTTTTATTAGTGGAAATCCACTATGCTTTAGTTTTGGTAAAGTAGAACACCAGATAAACAGCCAAATGTACTACTCTGTTGTCACCCACCAAAATGCATAAATCTCTGCATCCACCCCATGAATTACACACACTTTACAGCCAGAGGAATTACACTGCTATCTGTGATTGTAGCTCCTCCGCTTGTTGCGTCATCTCCCTGCCTACACATTTGATGGAGGAATTGAAGCGCTTTTCAGATAGTCTAGATACAGCATTGTTCCATTAGGGTCAAGGCCATTCAAGTAGAGTAGGCAATGCATTTCAGGGGGTCCAAGTCACCCCTAAAATGATAGAAATCTTATGAAATCATGTATAGGGACTACAATCCCTGCAGCTTGAAAGTTGATGGAAGTACTTCACACTTGTTAGCACTGCAGCTGGTTTCAAACCAACTGCTGTCAAGCCTGAAGTACTCCAATCATGACTCATTACAACTTTCAAGCTGTTGGGATTGTAGTCCATATACATGATTTATCTCATTAAGCCCTGATGGGCCCCGAGAATACGTGGCTACTCTACTTGACTATCCCCTGACCCTAATGAAATAAAGTTGTATTTGGACTATTTTAATTGGTGTGGCGCTTCAAGTCCTACATACACTGTGTTAACTGGCAAGCCAAGGATACTGTGGGGATCTTTTGGATTGCAGAAGCTGCCTACCTGTTAGACAGGCCACACATATTCACATCATTTAATTACTGCTGGATGAGAAACACCAAGAGAATAACCACACGGATCCAGCACATTCTTTTCGCCCTTTTGAATCTTCCTGTTTACAGACTATTTATTAGACTAGCACCCCCCACCAGTGACATCCCCCTGCCCCCATAAGCTGCCTAAAACACCAGCACCAAATCATCCTATACGTTAAATTAAACCTTTCCTAATAGAAATATGGGGTTCATATTGCTTACCTCCTTCTGAAAATACTAATTGCATGGCTGAGGTTCTGGACCATTGGCTTTAATACTTTCAAAGTCCCTGCCCTGGAATCGTCAGGGTCAAATTAAAGTCAGTAGTCCTTATCGGCATACTTTTCCTGGGTAACCCACCTAAATTATAAAAGCTAGACAAAATGAAAGCCAGGGAACTAGCATTTGAAGAATAAGCTGTAAACTACAGCAGCCCTTTCACTGTCCTTCCTTTAAGTAAATAACTCCTTTAACTTGCTTGCTATGCTGTGATTGGCTCTGCACCATGAACCAATCATAGCACAGCATAGCACAGTGCGGTGAAGTTAAATAAGTTCTTTAATAATATGGATTATTACTATAAGTATAATAGATTCAATGAGCAACTGAAACCAAACATATTTTAGGTTTAGATGGAGTGGAGAGGTATTAGAACACATGTCAGGTTTTTATTGCTGTCTGTGTCCCTGTTGGGGAGATTCACCTTCTCCATCTGTCCTGATGACTGTTATCACTGAAAGTCTGAATCACTGAAAGTGAACAGAGCAGGAAAAGAATGGAAATCATCAAATGGGGACAGTAGTCCTGCTGACCACCCGGGATTTCCCTCATTTTGGAGGGATTTCCTCTCTTGTGGTGGCTATCAGACAGGTAGTGAAGGGACAGCTCCACCATGGGTCTGTAGATGATTATTCTATAGTGGTATCTGTAGATGATTATTCTATAGTGGTATCTGTAGATGATTACTCTATAGTGGTATCTGTAGACGATTACTCTATAGTGGTATCTGTAGATGATTATTCTATAGTGGTGTCTGTAGATCATTATTCTATAGTGGTGTATATAGATTATTACAATATAGTAGTGTCTGTAGATCATTATTCTATACTGGTGTATATAGATTATTACTATATAGTGGTGTCTGTAGATCGTTATTCTATAGTGGTGTCTGTAGATCATTATTCTATTGTGGTATCTGTAGATCATTATTCTATATTGGGGTCTGTAGATCAATATTCTATAGTGGTTGCTGTAGATGATTATTCTATTGTGGTATGTCTAGATGAGTATTGGATAGTGGTATATGTAGATGATTATTCTATAGTAGGGTCTGTAGTTGATTATTCTATAGTGGTGTCTGTAAATCATATTTCTATAGAGGTATCTGTAGATGATTATTCTATAGTGGTATCTATAGACGATTATTCTATAGTGGTGGATGATTATTCTATAGTGGTATCTTTAGATCATTAATGTCAGTGTGCTGCCTCCTCTATGCTATTGGTGGAGTGACCTTGCTGGGTACCTGGTGTGATAGGCTCTGATTCTGTCTCTGTGGATGCTCCCAGCATTCTGCCCTCCTTCCCTCCCTCCATCCTTGGGTTTAGTAAAGGGAGGGCTGAAGATCCAAAGGCACACTACGCATGTCCAGGCTGGATGCTGGGAATCAGAAGTCTGCGCCGTTCCAGACGGACCTCGGCAGCGATATTTCAGCACCACTCCGCCTGGACAGTGTCCAGAACCATCATCCCGGGGACAGCAATCCGGATTACTGAGGGGCCAGACCGCGCACACCAATGTCGGGGAGTGCCATTGTACTTGGCCGGAGCCCTCTGTGAACATCTGACGGATCTGTCATCATAGACATCCTCGGTTTTCAAGCAGCTCTGGAGTGACATGGAGAGACGCCATTGCCTAGAAGAACATGCTGGTGGCAGCCGTGTGGGAGACAGCCAAAGGGAGGAACCCAGGTAGCAGATTACCCCCAAATCCTGCATGATCACCATCTGCAGGATCCGGCCTCTGTCATCTGTCACTCTGCCTGTCCTACTTTATTCCCTTCATTTGCTGGACTGTCATTCATCAATTCCTTGTGCTCCTCCAAGTGCATTCATCGATAAAAACTCTCCTCCATCAATGTCACTTTCCAATCTCCCTGTTTCCTCTCATGTGGATCCATTGCACACTCTCTGTACCTTCATTACATTTACCTTATTCTTTCACATCCCCTTTTATTTAAAAAAAATATATGCTATTACTTATTTTATATTTCTATTTTATAAGAAGCATGTGTACATTTTATATATGTTCTTGTAAAGTGTCCATTGCCCACTCAACTAAAGCCAATCTCCAGGGGGTGAAAACAAACCTTAAACCTGCAAGGGTTAACAACTGTTTTTTTTTTTTTGGGGGGGGGGGGGGGGGTTTGTCTAGAGGTATTGTGTAAAGGACTTTTAGTTACCTGTTCCCCGCTCCCTCCATTTCCAAGTCCTTTTCACATGTCCCCCAGACATAAATGAAGAGTTAACCCTTGCAGTGCATGGGGTAGTTTTTTCCCTGGAGATAGGCCCTGAAATAGTTTTAAATTAGGTTATTTTTTATATGGTATTATTTTACATTTTATTTACTGTATTTACTGTGACTCTAGAGCTACAGTAATGGATCTCTATAGTTTATAATTGTTGATTCCATGTACAAGAGGTTTAGCATCACGCTGTTATGTAGACAGCCATTGTTTCACTTATTCACAATTTTGGTAGATTTGATATCTGCTATAACAATCAATTGGATCTTTTCCTGCGCAAGAAATTGTCATGCACAGGGAAAGAGGGTCATTCCCTTTCAACTGAAAATATCTTAGCTGCAACTTGTTATTGAAAAGGTGCTTTTTACATATATACTTTTTCTTGTAGCTGCTCAATGCTCCAATGTTTATTTCTTCTATGTCATATGATGCATTTATACATGTCCTTGGAAGGGCTCCACTATTATCTACTTAAAGCAGAACTCTGGGCAAAACGTGTATTAACCCTTGCAGTGAGACTACCCCCACACTACAAAGGGTAACTACTCATTTTGGTCTAGGGAGGAAAATAACAAAGTTAAACTCACCCAATGCTCAGAGCCAGCCAGCTCTGACAGCGCCTGTTTTCTCCTTCGCTGCAGCGATGGTATGTATATCAAGTCCTGTATACAGTGTATATAATGTGATGACTTGAGGTCCCCTAGACCACTGCAGTAGTAGTGGGTAGCCTCACTGCAAGGGCTAATAAACGTTTTGCCCAGAGTTCTTCTTTAAAATAGCATTATATTATGTATATTTTTGTATGTATATATATATATATATATATATGTATGTATATATATATACAGGTGAAACTCGAATAATTAGAATATCGTGCAAAGTTCATTTATTTCACTAATGCAACTTAAAAGGATATATATATTTTATTTAGTGTAAAACTAGAGTTACAGTAACTGATTTCTACAGTTTATATTTGTTGATTGTACAGTGTACAGTAGGTCTAGAATAACGCCATTATGTAGGCAGCCGTTATTTCCCATAGTTCCAGTTTACATTGGCAGATTAAACGATTGGATATGTACAAGAATTTGGGATGCACAGGGACAGAGGGTCATTCCCCGTCAACCGAAAATATTTTAGTTGTAAAATTTTTAATAAAATGTAATTTATTGCTTGGAAAATGCTTTGATATATATACTTTTCAATGTGACATCAGAAAACAGTCAAAACTACTATAACATGACCCTTTAAACATTGTGCAAAGGTTCCATCATGAACTATTGCCAATGGCTGATGACTATAGATATAAGCCAAACAGTTACCCAGCCTGGTTGTATTTTTGGATGTTCATCTGAGATAATCTTCAGTACATGTGAATGTTCGGCTACGCAGATTTTATGGTGGAGAGAGCGCAGAAATTACCTAAAAATATGGCATTTTGCAAAAGGCAAAGTCTGATTTCAATAAATAAATGCACAAATTCACAAAAGAAGAAATGTGCATTAACAATTTCTTTGCATTGGAGCCAGTAAAGTATTGCAACCGCGATCAGTGGACCACAGGTGCAATGTTCTGGCTCCTGCAGACTCTTCCTCCAAAGAACCACATATGCAGTGACTTTACCGCACATGTATTACATTGAGGAGAACCAGTCCCTCTGCTGCATTGATAGATGAGACTTGTAGTTTCTCTATTCACAGATCCTGTCAAAGTATCTGTGAATGGATGTTGCAACGGTGTGGACCCTATTCACACTTGAGCTAAGAGGATTTGTCTTTTCAAGCTTGAGCATTTTTTTTTTTAATTGTTATTTTTAGCCAATGAAAAGCTAGTTACTAGGCAAACAAATGTGTTACACTCGTTTTCACAAATTTGCCCATGTCTTTCAGGCTCTCCCATTAGAGTCCATTAGTGTCAAAACATTTAAAGGATATTTAAACCCTCCCGGTTTTTTGCATATATCTACTGCTAACAAGCAGTAGATATATGCAAAAAGTTTTAAAAAAAACAAACGCTCAAACAGCAGTTTAGACTCACCTGTGTTCCGTGCAAAAATTAGAAATTTCTCGAGCGCCCGCAAAGGATCTTAGGCGGGCGCATGCGCAGTTCTCATTTTCGGCCGGGACACAAGGTAAGTCTATGGACGCGTGCACCCGCATGCAGACACCGCTGGATCGGAGGGACAGAGCAGTCAGCGCTGGATCGGAGGGACAGAGCAGTCAGCGCTGGATCGGAGGGACAGAGCAGTCAGCGCTGGATCGGAGAGCCGCCGCACCGCTGGAGAGAAGGCTGAAAACATCAGGAAAGAAGAGGAAGAGCGGAAAATGAGACATAATTTTAGGTAAGTGCTAACATTAACATGGGGGGGAGGGAAACATTTTTTGCCTTTAATGTCACTTTAACTCTGCCCCATAGGGAGCTCATGTACATTTCTGAGCGACAGGTGTTTTGCTACAAGTGACAGAGCGCTCAGTTGTGAACAGGAGCCTTTGAAAACAATGAGATTCTTCCTGCTGAGCATTAGCGCATAGGTATTCGAGCTATAAAACGGCTAGGTGTAAAAAGGGCCTCCATGAGCAGACAGAGCTACAGATCAGTGAGTCCATCTATTATGAGTCCAGACTGCATTTGGAAAGATGTAGAAGGAGTACACTAGATTGTAGTAGTCTCTACTTCTATCTGACAATAAATAGATCAGTGAACTACACAAAAATGACAGTTCATATTATAAGAGATTATACAGGCATGTGCTCATTTTCTGAGTACATGCCTGTATAATGACTTTAATACTGTCTGAGCCACTGATCCCAAACAACAATACAGATAAGGAATTCTGACACTCCCCTGACCCTTACTTGCTTCATATTTGTTATAGGTTTATGACACTGCCAGGCAAGTAGCATTTTCAGAAGACATTCAGATAATGCAGACCTCATATTTCTTTCATGACAGGTGTATTTTAAAATCAGCGAAATTAAGCTTTTATCTCTTTTTAATGCACACTGTTCTATATCAAACGTTAGCATTAGTTTAAGTTGAACTAACAGAACATTAGTTAAAGTAGAATTCTTAGTTCTGGATAAGGTAAGGGGAGGATTATAACCGCTGTCAACTTTTTAAAGCCATCTGTGTCCCATTGGGGAAATTTCACCTCCTGTTTAATAACCGCAACAGGAAGTGAGAGGAAACTCCTCCAAAGTGAGGAAAATCCCTGGTGGTCAACAGGGTCACCAGAACTAGTGTCCACGTTAAAAGATTTCCCATCTTTTCCTGTTCTGATGACAACCCAAAATTTGGGATTTTCTTTCATTTTTAGTGTTAACGTATGGGATGTCCTTTGTGTGGTTCGGAGCCCAATAGCCTATGGGACCCGATATCATCTGAGGAGGGTGAAGAGTACCCACAAAGAGTACATGGATGTAAGACAGCAGCAGAGGCACCTGAGAAAGGTGAATAGACAATGTGTGCTTTGTCAAAAACATTTTGTTAAGTCAGCATGGGATAAGATACACCATCTCTACGCGTTTTGTGGCTCTACAATTGGCCAGTCTTTTAGGAGGGTGAGGGCATACACTTTAAGTAGAGTGGTATGGCTCGTGGATTGTAAATCAACAGTTTACACATGAAACGTGAAGAGATAATATATCTTATTCGATGTTGACACACATTGTCTACTGATCTTTCTCAGGTGCCTCTGCTGTCTTACATTCATGTACTCTTTTGAGGTACTCTCCACACTTCTCCAGATGACATTGGGTCCCATAGGCTATTAGGCTTCAGACTATCCATATAACACCCCGACGGGCATTCAGTGCAACCACCTGTACGGGGACAGATAAATCCCCTGCGAGCCTACTATCCGCTATTTGCTAGATATCCCTAAGGGGACTTCCTGCAACCACCCGCATGTGAGCATTGTTTTCAAAATGTAATCTCCTGGTTAAACACCATTACTCCAATCTGGGAGTTTTCACTATTACACTTAGTTGGATCCCCCTTGGGACTTTCATTCTCACTTTTTCCTGTTCTTTTTTGGATTTGCTCTGTCTTCCCACAACAGTTTACATAGAGAGTGTGACTCTTCCTAAAAGCATGGACAGCAATGAAAACCTGACAGGCATTCTAATCCCTCTCCACTCTATCCAAAACTAAGGAAAAAGTTCTGGCTTCTAAGTAGATGTGAGTCCAGTCACTAAAATCCTAAATAATCCTTAAAATAATAATGTAATTTCTTGTTTTAATATTTTTAAATCTACATCTTTAATTTAAAAATATCTAAACACAAGAATAAAAATGTTAAATATATCAGTTTACCAATCCTAAAATGTGATGGCTGCATTAGTCACCCTAGGCAGCTCACTTCTGATTTGGACTACAGAACACTTTTCACTCTCCTCTATTTTATGGTGTGGGCTCTATAGTTTACAGAGGGGAACTCGGCGGGAC